AAAAAAAAAAGGAAGGGAAAAGAGGTGGGAGCATCCCAAGGAACTTTGCACCGGTGGCCCCCTAATGGGAATGCTATGGGATGCTGTGCCACAGTGCCAGTCCCTAACCTAATCTTAATTTTAGTAAAGGCATGCTGCTCTTTCTCTCAGAACATCTTTCACAGATGCTGTGGCAGCTTCTTTAGCAAATCACTTACTTGATGGACTTGCTCAGGTTCCTATAGCAAGTGAGTAGCAGGCTCACCTCCCAGGTAGGCATCTCGTGTAGGCAAAGGTTCTTCAGGCCCCTAGGAGAAAGAGAGTGCTGGATTGCTTGTACAGTCTCAACCTCTTTCTATCCCCATTCTCTATTCTCATGAATACGAGAAGCCCAGGAGGCCCCTGCTACCTCCTGGCTCATCCCCTGTTTCAGGCAAGAATGTGAACTTGGACTTGAGTGTGGTGCTCCTAACCTTCAGGAAGACCATTTTTCTTGCTGCCTTCGGCCTGGTTAAAATGGGCTCTGTGCTGGGTCCTGGGCTTGGAGGGCTGCACACATCCCAAACATGGCAACTCAAAGAGCCTTTGCTTTTCTTTACGTTTCATGAGGAAAGTTTCAGAAAGATTGGTTATGGGACAAGTGGGCAGAGTTGACAAGAGACGAAGGCAGGAATGAGCCCCAGCCCCAGGCCGGGAGATGCACCTGAGGCCTGGGGCTGATCAAGTGTACACAAAAACAGCAGCTCTTCCCCCTTCCCAGGGGTGGCTGGGAGGTGGGGAGTGGGGCCCAGGAAGGAAGGGCACCCACTTCTTGGGAAAGGCGAACGCTGGGCTGAGCTTCTGGAAAGGTGGTTGCCTCAGAGACCCTGATGCAGGTGCCTGCAGAGGCCGGGTTACCCAGAAGGCTGTGCAGCTTCACTCCTCCCACTGCAGGAGACATGGGCACCCCTTAGAAATCAGGGCGGTGTGGCTGGGGAAGGCCGTCCTGTCTCAAAGCAGTAGCACCCACCCAGGGGAAGTCAGTGCAAATACCTGGAGAAGAGGTTGTAGACGTCTGTGTGGAATTGGTGGCTGGGCTCACCTTAATATTTAACTTCCAAATACTTTGACTTACAGTAGGAGCATTTTCTCTTGTCTTTTCGCTGTGCGCCCTGCAGCATAAGCAAGCATTGACTGGCTCCTGGTTTGTCCATTCAGTGAAGGCCCGATCCTCATGAACAACGTAGGAGCTCCCTCTTGTGGCGTATTGTCAGATCGCAGGCTTTGTATTTCCTGTTCCAATTACTTTTCTCAGTAATTGATTCCTGGTGAAATGAGGGAATCCTAAGTTCTGAACGGTTACTCAACTGCACTCCTGTGTAATTCACAGAACAGGAAACTTAGCTCTTATATAAAACCATACTGTAACCATACAATGGGGTACGTTATTTTATGCTTGCTTCTGATGATCTCTGGGCCCTCATGGCATCTCTGAATGTGGAAATGTAGCACCTGGTAGTTTTTAAAACTACGGTTATCTTTAAAACTGTCCTTGCCTTTATCTGAATGAGATTCTGACCACGCTTGAACTGTGTGAGTTGCAGCATCTGTCACCACTTGTTTTCTTAGGGAGACATAGAGAAAACTTTCCTGAAATAAATGCTCGATTTCATTGGTAACTTTTAAAAAAGAAGTAAATTTATCTACATTGCTTGAGCCACTGAGATTGATGTGATTTCAGTTTCATTGTGTAAAGTGTTGCTGCTTTGTTTGTAGGGCTGAATATTTGCGTAACAATTTGGCAGGTTGACAATTTCAAAATATAAACATTTACATTTCAACCTACCAGTTCCAGTCTTTGTAACTTGTTGGGCAGGTGGGTTTGCACAAATTTGCCAAAGGTAAATTTATACATCACAACCTTATTTGTAATAAGAATAGCAAACAGTGATATATGTATAGATATATGTATAATCTGATTAATATTAACAATACATAGTATATTATTCATTATTAAATATATGTGGTGGACTAGGTAAATAAATTAGAGGACATTTCTACTGTGAACATTATAAGAGTGCCAAGAAAGAAATTCAAATATAGCTTTATATGCTGGTGTTAAAGATGCTAGGGACACAATCAGTGAAATTCAGAAATTCTTGAATATGTGGGTGGTGTGTTTTAGTACAGCCATACTTGTTTTAAAAGAATGAAAAAAATGTTCAACATGTAAGTGGGTGATTAAACACCTAAAAATTCTAGAGGGTACTCTTAATAGGAGTTACCTTCATCTCTGTGTCTTGGGGAGTGGGTATAAAGTGAGTGTAGCAGTGGGGAGGGGTTTTTTTGTTGTTGTTTATGTTTCTCTTAGTATTCTTCTGTGTTGTTTGAAAAGTATTTAAGAATTTCTTTCTCTGAAAAGAAAAGTAGACATAATTGTCCCACATTATACTCCTGAAACTGAAATGCCTACCAGATTAGCACAAAAGACAGATGCCAATTATTCAAAGAGGGTAATTATAAAAACAGAATTAAGAAAATATAATAAAGCAAAAATGCATGTAGGTATATTCAGTTTCACTGTGTTAAATCTTAAGATATTGTTAGTCCAATCTACTACCTCAAGAAAGTGATTATTAATGGGCTGGCATTGTGCCACCGAGGGTTAAGCCACCACCTGTGATGCTGGCATCCATATGAGCGCTGGTTCAAGTCCTGGCTACTCCACTTCTGATTCATCTCCCTGCTAATCTGCCTGGGAAAGCAGCAGATGATATGTCAAGTGCTTGGGCCCCTACCACCAATGTGGGAGAACAGGATGGAGTCTCTGGCTCCTGATTTCCACTCGGCCCAGCCCCAACTATTGCAGCCATTTGGGGAGAGATCCAGCACAAGAAAGATCTCTTTTTCTGTCTCACCCTCTGTCACTTTGCCTTTCAAATAAATAAAATAATTTTTTTAAAGAAAGTGAATTCTGATACAAAGGATTACAACCCCAGCAGGTGCTGTGGCTGGGAAGTAATATCAATACAGTAGATCCAGCCAGGTTATGAACATAAACTATCTTTCAAAATATCATCAAACTTTTATAACATGAATATAGGTGTCTACAATGCTGGACAGTATATTTCAAGCTTAAAATGTAAAAATACATTTTTTAAGATTTATTTATTTATTTGAAAGGCAGAGTTACAGAGAGGCAGAGAGAGAGGTTTTCCATCCACTGGATCACTCAACAAATGGCCACAATGGCTGGAGCTATGCCAATCCGAAGCCAGGAGCCCGGAGCTTCTTCCGGGTCTTCCACAGGGGTACAGGGGTCCAAGGACCTACGCCATCTTCTACTGCTTCCCTAGGCCTTAGCAGAGAACTGTATAGGAAGTGGAACAGTCGGAACTCGAATCAGCACCCATATAGGATGCCAGCACTGCAGGTGGCGGCTTTACCTGTCCCGCCACAGTGCCGGCCCCCAAGAATACATGTTTTATGCATCAGTTACACCCCATAGTTTGATGACCATGAATTTAATTTCTTCATTTCAATTAATAGTAAAAAATCCCAGATGGAGATTCTCAGGATTTGTGCTTTGGTGGCCTTTTCTTATCCACAAAGAAATAATACATCTTCATCTGATATCAAGGAAATAAAAAAATAGAATTAGTTGAGATGATTGTTAAAATGCAGATCCTTGAGGACTACACCAGATTCAAAGAGAAAGAGCAAGGAGTAGTAGTTTTGTTTTGCTTTTAGATTTTATTTTATTTATTAGAAAAGCAGAATTACAGATAGAGATGGGAGCGGGTGGAGAGAGAGAGGAGTCTTCCATCCATAAAGTCCAAAGCCTTAAACTCCATCCAGATCTCTCACATGGATGGCAGGGGCTGATGCCTGGGTACTTGAACCAGCTTCTACTGCCTTCCCAGGCCCATTAGCAGAGAGAGAGATCAGAAATGGAGTAGCCAAGCAGCCAGGTCTTGAACTGGTGCTGTGATATGGAATACTGGCTTTGTGGGCAGTGGCTTAGCTTGCCCCAGGAGGATAGTATTTTTTTTTTTTTAAGATTTATTTACTTATTTGAAAGGGAGAATTACAGAGAGGCAGAGGCAGAGCGAGGTCTTCCATTAGCTGGTTCACTCCCCAAATAGCCTCAACAGCCAGAGCTGGGCCCATTCGAAGCCAGGAGCCAGGAGCTTCCCACAGTGGTACAGGGACCCAAGCACTTGGGTCGTCTTCTGCTGCTTTCCTAGGCCATAGCAGAGAGCTGGATCAGAAGTGGAGCAGCTGGGTCTTGAACTGAACCCCATATAGGATGCTGGCACTGTAGGCGGCAGCTTCACCTGCTACACCACAGTGCCAGCCCCGAGGATACTATTTTTAACAAGCATTTCAGTCCATTAATGTTTTATCAGATGAATTTGGAAAATAGGTATATACTATAGTAGTTAGTCTTTAATGTGAATGTGATTTTAAATAAGATTTTGATCAATTCTTAAAGATATCAGTTTTTCCTTTGATAATATTCAAAAGAATACCCTATGGCTCTAAGTATTGCTTCATAAAAGTTTTATGAAATAATTTGAGCTATAACACATTAGATACAACTTTAGCATTGCTGCTTTGTAATGAATATTCAGGATTACTGTTTTGGCCCAGATATTGTACAAGTTAAGTTCATTTTTCAAATATGTTTAAGGTATATAAATTCACTATGGTGGTCATATTATTCTTATGATTTAGAAAAAATAAAGGGTAGTTTTTTCTTTCTTAATTAAAAAACTATTGTTCCTGTTACCTCTTGCATTAATTATGTTTGTTTATCTGAAAATTTCTTTTGATTCTTAATGCAATGTATCTCAATTTTGTTCTATATTTTCTGAATTTTGACATGGTGATTTTCTCTAAAGTAATTTAAATTTAACCAAAGTGAAATGATTGGAAGAAATAATTTAATAAAGTTATGTTAGGTGAGTTTAATTTGTGGGATAGATATATAAATTATTAAATTTCTGTAAACTCACAATTAATTTTTTTTCCCATCAAAGATACTTGCTTAACAGCAAGGAACAGCACCAGTTGTACCTCCTCAACGTCCTCACTTTCTAACTATCTGTATGTCTTCATCCTGGGACAACTGCTGTTGGGCATGGGGGGAACCCCTCTCTACACCCTGGGAACAGCCTTCATCGATGACTCTGCACCCACACACACGTCTTCTCTCTATATAGGTGAGTTATTCTCAGGCACAGCTGTCTCAGTATGATTTTATTGTTCTGTTTTGTTTTGTAAGTAAAGGCTAACATAGGTTTATTAAAAATTAGTTGTAATGGCCTAGGTGTTTTTATGCGATAAATGCCATGTGACTTTTATTTGTTTAGTTACTTGCTGCTTGTACTGAGTCAGTCAATGAATGCAGTGATTTTGGTTGCTGTCTTGCTCTGTTTCCTGCTCTGGACATGGGGAGATTGAGCTCTACTGTTTTGTGTGGCATTACATCCTAGATTACAGGCATCCACTAAAGAAACCACCAGATGCTCAGAAACTCTATGGAGTTTTCCATCTTAAATGAAATCTTTGTGTGAGTGCATGTGTGTGTGTGTGAGTGAATGTGTGTGTGTGTGTGTATACACACGGTATATTTATTAAGCAATTTTTCCCTTTGTGATCTAATATCTGGTAGCATAGTTTTTCTTTTTAAATTCCCTCCTTGATGTAGAGGTAGAGCTCACTAGATTACGCATGGTTCCACATATACTTACTGCATAATTTTTAAATTGATTAATTAATTTTTATTTATCTAAGGGTGGAGAGACAGAAGGAGGGAGGGAGGGAGGAGGGAGAGGAGTGAAGGAGAGAGATGAGACAGCTCCTCTCTTCTAGTTACCTGGTTGCTCTCCAGATTCCTGCAGTGGCCATTACTGGGCTGGGCCAAGGTTGGGAGTAGGGAAGCCAATCTGTCTCCCACATGGAGGATAGGGACCCAATGACTGGAGCCCTATCTGCTGTCTCTCAGGGTCCACATTAGCAGGAAGCTGGGATCGGCGTCTGAGGCTGTGAATTGAACCAGGCACTCTGATATACTGCATAACTTTTTTTTTAAGATTTTATTTTATTGATTTATTTGAGAGGTAGAGACAGGGAGAGGGAGAGACAGAGAAAAAGGTCTTCATTCCGTTGGTTCACCCCCCAAATGGCCACCATGGCTGGCACTACATCGATCTGAAGCCAGGAGCCAGGTGCTTCCTCCTGGCCTCCCATGCGGGTGCAGGAACCCAAGCACTTGGGCCATCCTCCACTGCCCTACCAGGCCACAGCAGAGAGCTGGACTGGAAGAGGAGCAACTGGGACTAGAACCCAGTGCCCATATGGGATACTGGCACCGCAGGTGGAGAATTAACCAAGTGAGCCACAGTGCCGGCCCTACTTAACTTTTTGTACATGTGTTTTCTGTTTATAAGTCTATTATTTCAACATAAGGAGATGCATTGCCACAGTCACTGTAAGTTAGTACGTGTAGTCCAGCCTGACAGAGGCTCCCCAGTCCAAATCAGAAATTATAAAACATATAAAGGTCTGTTACCAAAAGTAATTTTCAAATCACTGATCGCCAGCATTTTTAATTATGTACCTTTATCCATAAAATTTTGAGCATGAATCCTTTATATTTATGTACATAAAGTACTTTTAAAAGTTGATGAGAAGTTCATATTTTTAAAACCCTATGCATTTTTTTTGCACCAATATAAAATTACTATTTAGTTTCTTCATGAACTTTCTGAAGTAGCTTCAGAAATACATACCTTAATATATCTACTAATATATTTTCACATTTTAAAATAGAGCTGTAATATAAATTAAGATAGTTGGCAGATCAATGAAAGTTCATATATATTTTCATTTCATCTTGTGTGATCTCTTTGGAGACGTAGCTACTTTGCAGGTCATTTTTGTCATTGATGTATGCTAAGTTTGTCTATAAAGCAAAGTTTCTCTTCTTTAATGCATTAGGGTGAGAATCTCAGCAGTTAATTTTGATATCTGGATGGTGGCAGTTCATCAGGACACTAGTATATGCATGAATGTTTTTTACAAAAATGTAGTTATATGTTAAACTTTTAGACATCTGACAGAGATGAGCTTTATTTAATTCTCCTGCTAGTGAAAGTGGAGAGGGTCTCTGAGAGCAGAAAGTTTAGCTAATGGCCTGTGTTGAAGAAGCAGACTTAGCAGATCCAGGTTCTGAAGTCAGCTACTGTAGCACAAGATGAGGAATGCTTTCTGAACGAGTGCAGAGTGAAAAGCCTTCTTGTTTCACATCATTTTCTTCCACAAGATTATAAACTATAATTATTAGCACTATCAGTAAAATAGTAGATAAACTACTCCTGCCACAAGTTATAACTTTCCATAGATTTATAATTGTTCGATTTGTTACAGATATTAGTACATCCAACAGCTTTTGCATTGGGTGGTACATTTTAGACTTCTTGATTTGACTGTTGATTGGAAGATAGCACTGAGATAGTAATTTGTGTAATTTTGATGTGAATCTTATCATTTAGATATTTCTACAGTGAAATATCTCTTTCTTGCTATCACTAGCCATGTCAAGCAAAGATGTACAAATGACTACTTTCAATGTCTTTGTTCTCCTAGGAATTGGCTACTCTATGTCCATCTTAGGCCCTGCCATAGGCTACGTGTTGGGAGGACAGCTGCTCACCATGTACATTGATGTTGCAATGGGACTAAGGCAAGGCAGTATCTATTTGTCCTTTATTTGCATTTCATTACTTTTAACAATGCTAACATCATAGAAGGGTTTCCCATGAGGCGCTTTTTGGGAAATAAAACTGAGGACACACAGTTTTTATATAGTATGGTATCTTTGCATATTTCTTTATGCATGTGTGCCACATCATCTCTTTGTGTTGTAATTGTTTATAGATGAGGATGTTCAGTGGAATCGCCTGGTGAAATAAAAAACATATATCGGATGCCAGGAATTTTTCAAAACTGAGAATTTAATAAAAGTTGTTTATGTTTTCAGTAGATATAGAAGGGGGTAGATAGGCGAAGCAGTCTGCAAGGTGTGTGATCTAGGAAGTTCTGTACTAGCGCCATTCAAGTCATAATCACAGCTGTGCTGCCTTCACATCAGTGACAGTGAAAGATCCTAATTAGTAACACGCATTTGTCCTGTGCTATGTTCCCCATGATATGGTTTGTGTGTTAACTTACTACACTATTTTATTTAATCCTCTTGATAATCCTGGGAGTAGTTGATACACACAAGTTGGTAAGTGACCAAGACATAAACTGAAGCAGACCTTTTGACTCCAAAATCCCCCTCTTAACCACTGAATTCCCCCTTCTTTTACTGAATTGAGAAGTTAATGACCTTTGCCAAGGCCGTATTTTCTCACTTTACCAGTAGGAATCATGACTGCACTATGCTTTGTGTGACTATGGGCAGTGAATAAGAAAATGGGGTCATGGATTTGTGATGTGCTGTCTGAGCTGCTGGTCCTGGGTTAATCTTTTAGAGACTATAAAAGAGCTTACAGAAACAGAGTCAGGTTTTTGAGAAAGGACATTTTCATTTCTGTGGAGAATTAGATGAGTACTAGGGATGGTGTAATTTTGCAAAGGGCCTGCTGATTGTAAAATATGAGGCCTATTATAAAATAGAGTCAATAAATCACTGTAAGAATAATTTCAAATTTTAAGAAATGCCATAACTGAAGCACACTATATGGACTTCTAACATAGGGATTTGCAGTGAGTTTTTTCTAATTTAATACAGCAGCAGAGAAATGCTTAGCCAAAGTTAAATAAAGAATATTCAGAAATTCTATGTATGTTTTCAAATATTTGAAATATTTGCTATTAAATATCTTAAGCTGTTGTGTCATATTGTCATTTGAAAATACTTTGTAAACCATTGTTCTTTTTTAAAAAAATATTTATTTATTTGAAAGGCATAGTAACAGAGAGAGAGGGAGAAGCAGAGAAAGAGAGGGGGAGAAATCTTTCACCTGTTGATTCACTCCCCAAATGGCCACAAAAGCCAGAGCTGTGCCAGGCTGAAGCCAGGAGCCAGGAACTCCATCCAGGTCTCTCACGTGGGTATCAGGGACCCAAGTATTTGGACCATCTTCTGCTGCTTTCCCAGGCACATTAGCAGGGAGATGAATGGGAAATGGAGCATCTAGGACTCAAACTGGCACTCATGTGGTATGGCAGTGGCACAAGCAGTGGCTTAACTAGCATACTACCATGCCAGTCCCTAAATCATGAATCTTTTTTTTTTTTTTTTTTTGACAAGTAGAGCTATAGACAGTGAGAGAGAGAGAAAGAGAGAAAGGTCTTCCTTCTGCTGGTTCACTCCCCAAAAGGCCGCACCGATCTGAAGCCAGGAGCCAGGTGCCTCTTTCTGGTCTCCCATGTGGGAGCAGGAGCCCAAGAACTTGGGCCATCCTCCACTGCCCTCCTGGGCCACAACAGAGAGCTGGACTGGAAGAGGAGCAACCGGGACTAGAACCTGGTACCCATATGGGATGCCAGTGCCGCAGGCGGAGGATTAACCAAGTGAGCCACGGTGCCGACCCCAATCATAATTCTTGCAACACATATATCTGTCTGCTACCTGTTGTTAATAGTTCCATTTAAATTTACAATAATATTCTACCGTATGCACTTGAATTATAAAGTAAGTGTTGGTCATAAGTGAGTGTTATTAACGAGATGGAGTTGATCTTGACCTCTTGTTTTCTTTGCTGACAGCACTGATATCACTGAGGATGACCCCCGCTGGCTGGGGGCGTGGTGGATTGGATTCCTCATTTGTTGGCTCTTTGCATGGTCTTTGATAATACCTTTCTCATGTTTCCCAAAACATTTGCCAGGTAAATATGCTTTCTTTCTTGGAAATCAGGGAGCTTCTTTCTAAGTCACATGTTGTTTTCTGTGACTAATAAGACCATACAGTCATGCTATTTTTGTTAGATAATTTGAGTTGTCTGCCTATGAAAGCATTTGACTGCCAATGTTTGTTTTAGGAAATATTGGATGTCTTAATATTCATGTTCAGTGGAATCTTAATATTCATGACTTTTCTTTATTAATAACAGTAATTGGTAAATTAATAATTAACAAAATTATCTATATACCACCTAACTACTTACTAAATTTGTTTATTATTTTTAATATAGAATTTTGTTTTTAAAAAAGATTTTATTTATTTATTTGAGAGGTAGAGTTACAGACAGAGAGAGGGAGAGAAACTGGTTCACTCCCCAAATAGCCACAGTGATCGGAACTGGGCCGATCCGAAGCCAGGAACCAAGAACTCCATCTGGGTCTCCCTTGTGGGTGCAGGGACCCAAGCACTTAGACCTTCTTCCACTGCTTTCTCAGGCCACTAGCAGAGAGCTAGATCCAAAGAGGAGCAGCTAGGACTACATAAACTGGCACCCATATGGGCTTTCAGCAGCACAAGTAGAGACTTAGCTTACTACAGCCACAGTGCCAGCCCCTAGAATTTTTGCTTTATGTGTAACAAGATACAATAGCTTTTAAGCTATTATTCTGAATTAAGCAAGTCATCAATTTCAAGGACACATTTACCTAAAATAATTCTTAATTGTTTGTAATTGAAAGTAAAAGTACTAATTTTTAAAATTGTCACCTAAATAATGGTGCAGTACACATTATCATTATTATTATTTTACCATATTTCAGTACTAGCTTGTCACAAAAGAAAAGGTTGATAGGAAAGACTACTTATTCCTCTTTTAATGAGGTCTTGCCTCTTTATTATTGTGTAATTAAAATACATGTCTAGCAGTATTTTTTTCTAGGTTGAAAATACCCAGTTTTTTCTTGTTTATTTACATTAGAGTACAGCATTATCTTTTTTTTTATGATTTATTTCTTTGAAAGGCAGGATGACAGAGAGAGATCTTCAGTCCACTGGTTTACTCCCCAAATGTTCATAACAACCAGGGCTGGAGCAGGTTGAAGCCAGAAGCCAAGAACTCTATCTGGGTCTCCTATGTGGATGGCAGGAGTCCAAGTTCTTAGGCCAACATTCACTGCCTTCCCAGGCACAGTAGCAGAGAGGTAGATTGGAAGTGACCCACCAATATGGGATGCTGGTATCACAAGCAGAGGTTTAACCCATTTTGCCACAATGCCAGCCCTATATGATTCTTTTTGGAACCAGGAGTTGGGAGACAAGAAATAAATGGACTTACTAATTGGTTTTGATCCTGGGCAATCTAATTCATGATTCCATATTTTGACGTTTCTGATATTCATCATACTCTACTATTTTTTATTAAAAATTAAAGAGACATGATGATACATGGCAAATACTATTTCATTTGCCAAACTTGTTAAAGGCAGAAAAGGTGAAAAAAACCCCACATAAATGTACCTTAATATATAAAGGATGAAAAAGAGAAACAAGTGAAAAAGGAAGAAAAAATGTTAACAGATCTTATAGAAAATAACAAAATTGTCCCCTGTTAATGTCAGACAGATTAGAACTTCCCTAGCTAGTGATGACGAACATGTGGCCTGGAGCAGCCTGATGACAATGTAGATATTTGTACCATTGTGTTGACAGAGAGGAACTGACATCTGTGTTAGGGAAGTTAGATACTTTGGAAGTCTGTGTCCATTAAAAAATAAGCATTTTATGAAGTAAAGAGTGAAGTGATAGAGCAAATACATTTGCTTTGTTTCTAGGTACAGCAAAAATTCAAGCTGAAAAAATTTCCCAGACTCATCAGAATAAGAGTAGCTCCTCACAACACACAGATGAGAATTTTGGAAAAAGCTTTAAAGATTTTCCAGCTGCTCTAAAGGTAAAAACAAACAAACAAAAACCACAACAAAAAGACCTGTGCTGTTCCTATATCACTCTCCTTGATGTACACAATGCTCACATACGTGTACAACTCCACATGTGTGTATATGTAATGCATACATATATTACATAGTCACTTAAATGGCCACATAGGCATTTATACTCACACACACAAACAAATCTTTTCAGAGTTATTTGCTTATTTACCAGTGTTCTAAGCTTTTTCTTTAAAATTTTTGTTAATTGTCATTTTATTTTTAATGTAGCAAAATGAAAGAGAGAGAGAACCAGACAGAATGAGATCTTCCATCTGCTCTTTTACTCTCAAAATGCCTGCAACAACCAGGCCAGGCTGAAGTTGGAAGCCTGGAACTCAATCTGAGTCTCCCTTGTGGGTAGCGGGGACTCAAGTGCTTGAGCCATCACCAGCTGTATTACAGGGTTCTCATTAGCAGTAAGCTGGAATTGAAGTGGAGCTGGGACTTGAACCCAGACACTCCTAAATGGGATGTGGGCCACCCAAGTGGCATCTTAACTACTCTACCAAATGCCCTCCCCTCTAGCTCTTATAAAATACTCTTCAGAGGTAGTTTTATTCTCTTTGAGAAAATGAAAACTATTCCAGAGTCCAAAGGTTGAAAGAGCGTTAGCAATAGCAATGGCAATAATAGTACTTAGTGGTTTCTTCTTAGCTCTATAGCCCATTATTTTGTGCCACTTCCCTGTGTAATGGATTGATCAGTTACCACTGAATTGCAGATATATTTGAGAATGCAGATTAATATTTTTCTGTTGTGGAAGAGATGGTGGTCAGTGGTAACTTGGTTTGAATTTGAGGTCAAGGAAACAGAAGTTGTATAGTTCATTCTGTTGAACTCAGCAGAAAACATTCTTTAATTTTAGCATCATGAAAGTTCTGTTCTTAAGAGAATTTACAACTTTACTTTTAAAAATATGAAATTATTATTATTTTTGTCTCCTTCTCAAATGAAAGCCTTACCATGTTTTTATACCTCCACTCTGCTCACTTTTCAACACTCCCCTCCTGGTCCCTCACACAGGAACATTCCTGTGTTAGCTGAGATTGCTCATAGTTTTAAGTACTACTATTATCTTACAGTGATTCGCCTCTATTTTTATATATTTCTGTTTACTTTATAAGTTCTAATTTCCATTTCCATTTCTCACCATTGCTATTTTTGTCCTTAAGGCCTTATGCCTGGACTCAGGTCCCTGTGGGTGGTATCTTATTGCTGGTTCCCTTGCTTGGGTCCTGCCTACTTGTCCCTGACTGTCTGAATGATGTGGACTTGGGGGATCCTTCTTTCCTTTGATCCCAGTGTTCTGTGGCCACCGTTGCTCTTCTCTGTGTAAACATATTGCAGTTGAGGAGTTCCCTGTTGGTATGGTTCTGACTCTTCCATCTGTAAGTCTGCGTGTGCTTTTCCATTTAACTTTGATTTCAGGAAATCTACTTTATATCTAACAATGTGGCTTTTTTTGCATTAATCCTTCCTGGGAATCTATTATCTTTTTCAGTTGGAGGACTTAAGTATTTTCTGTTATTATTATTAAGTTATTAGCACGTCTCCATCCACATACTTTTTCTCCTTTTGTCACCCTTGTTAGTCTTAGGTTATGTGGCGTGGCTCTGACTTTGAAAATCTCTTAACTTGCTCCTTTGTAATTCCTGTGTGTGTGTGTGTGTGTGTGTGTGTGTCCCAGTTTTATGAAATTTTTTGCACTGAATATTCTTGAAGTATAATTTAGTTTTTATTTTGTGACTAAATATGTTAAAAATAAATCTCTGTATTCTTCTCTATAGTTCTACAATATTCTAGGAGGTCCAGCAATGCATATAGCTGTTTAAAATTGCTTAACCTCAAACCCATCAAAGGTTCTAATTACTGAGCCCTTTAGTCATGGAATAGTACTGCACGCTTGTTACTTACCTGCCATTCTCATCCCTCCTCACACTCTCAAATTCTCTGCTTAGTGCATACAGGAATTCAAAGCACAATAAAAACTTAAACAGCCTGGGGAGTCACAGTGAGTCTGAGGAAGCAAACCTTTCTAAGCAGATTTTTGCTGCCTTTCCTTGGTTCCTTGTGATAAAAGCATAATCAAAATATTGATGAATCAGGGTTTTATAATATCTCACATAAATTTTCTCACCATTGTATCCGTGAATCTGTTAATTATCCATAGTTACATTCTTGTGTTGGAGGAAATGCTGTAATCTTACAGTTCATTATGTTGTGTTTGTTAAGAATTCTGCCATCTCACCATGATACCATGCTCCTGCTGCACTTTGCAGTATAATCATAATTATTCATTTGGTGAACTGTATTTTTTCTTTAGAATTTGATGAGGAATACTGTCTTTATGTGTTTAGTTCTATCAACTTCTTCAGAAGCCTTAGTTACCACTGGATTTGCTACATTTTTACCTAAATTTATTGAAAATCAGTTTGGATTGACATCCAGCTTTGCTGCTACCCTTGGAGGTAAAACATTTTCTTTGTTCTTACTGAATCCAATGAATTCCCTTTACTATGCTAGATTTTTCTTTGGATAACATTAGGCAACCTATTGTACTGACTGAGAGAGACAAAGGCTATGAGGCTTAAAGAGAAAGTGTACTTATCTGAGTGCTCAATATTAAATTTTATTAATCCCGCAGTGGAACTATTAACTCATTTATGCATATATTTCTATATCAAGTGAATACTGTTATATGTTAAATCATACTTCTGTGCCCATTTTTGGTATTTTCCAATTGTTAATATGTTACTGATTAGACTTGTGTGTTTTCTTACTCTCTGTGTCTTCTGTCTCTTTAGGGGCTGTTTTAATTCCTGGAGCTGCTCTTGGTCAGATTTTAGGTGGTGTCATTGTCTCGAAATTCAAAATGACATGTAAAAATACAATGAGGTTTGCACTAGCCACATCTGGGGTTGCACTTGTGCTGAGTTTTGTGTTTATTTATGCCAAATGTGAAAATCGGCCATTTGCTGGTGTGTCTGAATCATATAATGGGTAAGTATATTCAGTGCTTTTTGGTATTAATATCAAAGTAATAAACTAAACCTGAATTTCCAAATATATATGCCTTCTTAAATGGTGAGGAATTAGCTTCATTTTTTATTAAAAATAATTTTGATTTATTTATTAGGGAGACAGAGGTAAGTACACATGACAGGGAGCATAGAGAGTCAAGTGGGTACACCAGACAGAGCGCCCATCTGTGGGTTCATTTCTCAAATACCTGCAATGCCTTAGGCTAGGCTTGGGCTGAAGCTAGCAGCTAGAAATTCAGTTCAGGTCTCCTACACAGGTGGCAGGAACCCAATTTCTTGAGCCATCACCTGCTCCCTTCCACAGTCTGCATTAGTAGGAAGCTGGAGTCAGGAGCTGGAGACATATTCAAACCCCAGGTAGTTTTTTCTTTTTTTAGAAAACTTTTATTTAATAAATATAAATTTCAAAGTACAACTTTTGGATTATAGTGGTCCCCCCCCCAACCACCCTCTCACCCGCAAACCATCCCATCTCCTACTCCTTCTCCCATCCCATTCTTCATTAAGATTTATTTTTAATTATCTTTATATACAGAAGATCAACTTAGTATATACTAAGTAAAGATTTAAACAGTTTGCACCTACATAGACACACAAAGTATAAAGTAGTGTTTGAAGACTAGTTTTATCATGAATTCTCAGAGTACAACACATTAAGGGCAGAGATCCTACATAGGGAGTAAGTGCACAGTGACTCCTGTTGTTGAATTAACAATTGACACTCTTATTTATAATGTCAGTAATCACCCGAGGCTCTTGTCATGAGCTGCCAAGGCTATGGAAGCCTCTTGAGTTCACAAACTCTGAGCTTATTTAGACAAGGCCATAATTAAAGTGGAAGTTCTCTCCTCCCTTCAGAGAAAAGTGCCTCCTTCTTTGATGGCCCGTTCTTCCACTGGGATCTCACTCACAGAGATCTTTCATTTAGGTCTTTTTTTTTTTTTTTTTTTTTTTTTTTTGCCAGAGTGTCTTGGTTTTCCATGCCAGATCCAAATGCCTTAAGGATTGATTCTGAGGTACATGGGTGTCTTAACCAGTTTCTTAAATTCTTCTAAAGGCCTGCCCTGAAGAATTGGCTGACTGAGAATATATCATTTCTTTTTTAAAATTTAAATAACTGATATCTTCTTAAAAGTTGAGAGTATTTAGAGAGCATGGTACTGGGTACTGTTCTTGGCTCAGGGGCACAAAATGTTATTGCAACGTAATATTTACCTTTGAGGGATTCACATCTGCTGAGCTTCAGATGTGTCCATGAAAACTTCACGTGTTTAATCTCCAAAATCAGATTAAATAGGAGATGAGTCTTCTGGAAGTAATTACTTTGAGGTGAAGTCATGAGGATGGGGCCCCCATGGAGGCTTAGTCGTTTTGTAAGAAAAGGCAGTGCGACCTGAGCTAGCAGCTTGCACTGTCTCACGTGTGATGCCCTCTGCCATGTCATGAAGAAGCAGGAGGGGTTTTGCAGGCCCAGTGCTACTGGGCTACCCAGCCTCCAGAACCTTTAGCCAAATCTCCTCCTCCTCCTTCTCTTCCTCTCCCCTTCTTTCTCCTCCCCCTCCTGCTGCTCCTCCTCCCCATCCCCCTATTCTTCCTCATCCTCTGCCTCCTCCTCCTCTCCCTCCTCCTCCTCCATTCCTCCTTTTTTATAAATTACTGAGTCCCAGACACTTTGTTATAACAACAGAAAACAGATTTGAGACAACATCCTGTGGAGAATTTCATATTGTATGTTCCCACTGATTTAATTTTTTAAAATGAAAATGACTCTGTGATAAAAATTTCTTAACATGTGGGCTGAAAGCAGTAGAAGAGAAATTAAAATGAAGCTAGTCCTAGGTAATGCAAATCATTGTTGCATTTACTGAGAAATTCTTGTTTGTGGCAGAGAAATAAATAACTTGTTCTGACCTGTAGACATGTTCCTGTCTGTAACTGGCTTGGGATCTTCCTTCATCTAATTTGTTTTGCTTTGAAATTCTAAGCCATGAATAGGGGATTCTGAAGGAGGGCATTTCACAGCAGTGTGTATTATAGCTCAAGGTACTGCATTAATTTTTTCATTGTGTGTGTGTGTGAGGTCGTTGAGGGAGCTAGCACGCTAGGTCAAGGACTATACTTTTGTATAACATGACATTCACATGACACAAATAAAATGTGCTTTGGAAAGATTTGCCAATAACAATTATCGGGATTTGTTGCTACTCTTCAAGTACCTGTCATTCTTGTACATTTATGTGAAGCTGAGCTTTCTCGAGCAGTGTTTTGTTACACTCCATTACACTCATTCATTCTTTGTGGAATGTTTCCTCTGGCTGACCTTTATGGCAAAATCCCTACAACAATGCATTAGGTAATGGGGCATTGTTATAAAATCCAAAAGAAGGAGGTTTTTTTTTTTTCCTTCAGTTTATTTGATAGACTCAAGGAGAGCTTCATGATGTAGTAACTAGCAAAATGGAGGTTTAAATATCCTTTAAGGATACAAAGAATTTGGACAGATCAAGATTTGAGAAGAAGGAAAGGGGAGGGGGAATATGCTAAAACAAGGGTGTAAATGCTATAAAAAGTGAGGGTTAGGTTCAGCAACCAGTTTAAACCAAATTTAGGTTTAATCTGCATATAGAATATCTAAAAATGTTGAAAGGTAGGTAGAGATGAATTATGCAGATTCAGCTTACACCCTTATAAACTGTACCAAAATCCAGTCCAACAAACAGCCTTTCCTGTGTGCTCTATTTGTAAAGGTGGAAAGTTCTGGATAGTTTAGCACATAGGTTATCATCGAAGTAACAGAGAGAGAAAGAGCTTTCATCCATTGCTTCACTCCCACAAATGGCCACAACAGCTGGGGCCAGACCAGGCCGAAGTCAGGAGCCAGGAACTCCATCTGGGTTTCCTTTGTAGGTAGCAGGGGCCAAAGCATGGTCATTTTCACTGCTTTCCCAGGTAGGTTACCATGCAGCTGGATTGGAAGTAGAGCTGCTGGAGCTTGAACCTGTGCCCATATGGGAATCCAGCGCTATAGGCAGTGGCTTAATCTGTTGTGCCGCAATGCCAGCCCCTCCTTCCTTTACATCTAATTCTGCCACTTTAAGCAGTGTGGAATATAATTGGAGTTCATTATGTATTCCATGAATACGTCTACTGCCGGGACCCCTGCACTCTTTTTACTCCACATACTTGGTTTCTGCTTCATCTATATATAGATGGATATTTAAAAAGATACCCACCTGTGGGCTGGACTTCTTGGCCAGAATTAAGACTCTTAATCTCAGCATCTGTAAAACCACACACATCACCTTGTCCCTGAAATCTGTTCTCCTTCCACCTCATCACTAGAAGTCAATTTTGACTTCCCTCCTTACTAGGAAGAGGGGTCATCTTCAGTCAGTCGCCACTTCTCATTTCAGATGCAGTTTTCCCACAGTCTGTTTCCTGTAGTCATGTGTTCTGTTTCAGTTCTCCTTTATTTGTCCTCACCGGCTGTCTGGAGTGTTGTAGCTCGTCCCCCTCCCACCCCCACCCCTTCCTTCTAATTCTTACTTGGAGAACTCCAAAGGTTGTTTCTTTAAAATTAACTTTTGACAATGTCACCTTGCAATATAAAAATATTTTAGGTTACCTTTTGCCAATAGGTTATAATTCCTTTTTTATATATAAAAGATTTATTTGAAAGGCAGAGAGAGAGAGTGTGTGAGTGAGCGTTTCTATTTGTTGGTTCACTCCTCAAATGGTCCCAGTAGTTAGGAATGGGCCAGGCAGAAGCCAGGAGCTTCTATCCTTGTCTCCCATGTGGGTGGCAGGGGCCCAAGCAATTGGGCCATCCTCCACTGCTTTTCCAGGCTCATTAGCAGGGAACTGGATCTGAACCTAAACTGGCACTCTTAAAGAGATGCCAACATCACAGGTGGCAGCTTAACCTGCTGTGCCACAGTGCCGACCCCTAGCTCCTTGTATTTAATAAGGCCCATGAGACCCTCACCAGTCTGGCCCCTGACTGCTTTCCAGCTACAGTCCCCATCACTCTCCTCCACAGGCAGCACCTGTGTTTCTGCAAACAGGATGCTGTTCCTCAGCCTGCGCCTTGGTACCATGTTTTTCTGAAGTGCCTTAGTCTTTCCCATTCTCTCAGCTCACCCCGAGCCCTTATCCAAGACTCAGACAGCGGCTGCTGCAGGCTCCCTTCTGTAAACTTCGGTTTCTGTTAGGGTGACATTCCTCAAAGTTTCTGAAGCGCACATGGGAGACGTCTCCAGGCACAATCAGCACGTTGGTGCCTCCTTGTATGTGTCCACCTCTGCTCCAAGACTGAAATCGCAGAGGACACAAATGGTTGTACTCACAGTTTCGTATTCCTGCTGCCTAGTGCTTGCCCAGCATACAGTGAACGCATGAATGACTTATGAATAAATGAATGAGGGGCTGGGGAAACCTCTGTCTTTAGAAAGCAACCCTCCATGGTAGGAAAGATGTTGCTTCCTGTTAAGGGGCAGCCTGTGACAACACTGGATCTGGGGACCAGGAAAATTAACCTTTGGCGAAGAATATGAAAGTAGCATCTCTAGGCCTAAGGTTTCCTGAGGCTGACACTAGTGTGTTGTACAGCGTGATGTCATTCATCCTCTAGGTTTAGAATTTTGCCTGCACCCCGAGCCGATGTGGCAGTGTCTGGAGAGATTCTGGTTGCCACAACTCGGGAGAGTGTTGTTGGGTGTGTTGGTGCAGGTCTGCAGTGCCCCTGAGATCCACAGGGCCAGCCCTCAGAGAAAAGTCACAGAGAGAAAACCTGCTTTCTTCCCTTCCTCTACCCCGTTTTTCTTATCACCGACAGACACTCTGTTCTATAGCCAGTGCTTTTAGTGCCTCTCCCTGAGCTGCATGGGCGAGGCAGACACGTGTTTTTTCCTTCAGTCATCATGTGATGAGTGAATGAATGCTAGATCGACTTGCAAGCTGTAACCCAGGGCTTTTGAACTGTTCACTGAATGGGGTGGCATAAACACTTTATCCTTCTTTCTTTTCTTGTTCGCAGGACAGGAGAACTAGGAAACTTGAGTGCCCCTTGCAATGCCAACTGTAACTGTTTGCGATCATACTATTATCCGCTCTGTGGAGGGGATGGAGTCCAATATTTTTCTCCCTGCTTTGCAGGTTGTTTAAACACTGTTTCAAAATCGAAGCCAAAGGTAACTGTGTCTGCTACTTTCCCCTTAAAGAGGCAATGTGTTTGTGCATTTAAAAAACATTTTTTATTTACTTAATTTATTTTCAATTTATCTGAAACACAGAGAACTAAATGCCCACTGCCTAAGTGCCCACAACAGCCAGGAGTTGGCCTGGTCAAATTCAGGAACCTGGAGACCCAGTCCCGGTCTCCCACTTGAGTGGCAGGGACCTAAATACTTGAGCCATCCTTTACTTACTTGCAAGATACACTTTAGTAGGAAGTTGAATCTGGACTGGAGGAGCCAGGACACAAACCAGGCACTCTGATATGAAGGCAGGCAGTAAAGTAGAGTCCTAAGAGCTGTACCACCTTGCCCCCCATTTGTGGGTTTGTAGTTGTCTTTTTTGATCCCTGCAGGGGGCTCATGCGCCTGCCTGTTCTTTTCCTGCTGCACCTCCTCCTGCATTAAGCAGCCTTTGACCCCTGCAGTAAAAAGACTGGTCTCCTGTGGGGAGCAAACCGGACTAGACTGAGTTACTGGAATTAAGACTTATTCTATGCATCTGCTCTCCCACAATATGGCGCTGGGAGAGAAGTAAACAGCTTCCGCACAGCTGCCTCCAGTTCAACTAATAAACTGTAGGACTTGCTCCTGATTGGAGGAGAGCAGCGTACTCGGCGTGTGGGAAGCCGAGTTAGGATTGGCGGAGGAGGACTATAAAGGAGGAGAGAGACGGCATGCACCGGGAACATCTATGGGGAACATCTAAGGGAACCCGTGCAGCCCCCGAGAAAGCCGGCCGGCGGTGTGCCGCTCCCCTGCGGAAGTGGGGAATGTGGCCAGGGGGAACTGCCCTTCCACGGAGGTGGAAGGGATAGTAGCCAACCCGGGAAGAACCAGCAGCAAACCCGGGGAGGGCCGAGCAGACGAAAGAACAGCTCAGGGTCCTGTGTCGTTCCTCCACGAAGAGGGGGAGCGACAGTCTCCCTTCATACCTCACACAATTTGCTGAAATATCATTTAGGCAGTTACTCTACTCGCATACTACTTTGCAATAGCACTTCTCTTGTAGTAGTGAAAAGAATATTTCCCTTTTTGTTTTGTTTTTACTCAACGACAGTTTAAGATACTTGGAGGCAAGAAACATACTTACTCTTTCAAAAAATAAATCAATTATTTGTATTTTTTTTGAAAGAGAGAAAGAGATTTTCCATGCATGGATTTACTCCTCAAATACCTGCAAAAGCCAGGACTTGGCTAGGCCAAAGCCCAGAGCAGGAAACTTGCTCCCAGTCTCTCATGTGGGTAGTAGAGACCCAACTACTTGAGGCACCACCTGCTGCCTCCCAGGGTGTGCATTAACAGGAAGCTGGAATGGAGAGCAGAGCTGAACTTGAACCTAGGTATTCTGACACAGACTGCAGGCATCCCACGTAGTACCCAACACCTGTCTTATTTTTCTTAAGTGTAAGATGTGTAATAGAAAATAAATATTTGTTTAAGTGATTCACTCTGGATATATTTTAAAATGTCCAAATCATTCATTCATTATCAAATACAAATTTAATTGTAATTTTGGATTACAATGAATATTAGTTTACTCCAGTGCCCTTTCTTTTTAATAGTTATATAGTTTAAGAGAATAAACAGTTCATTTTAGCTAAATTTAAGAGTCTTGGAAGTGTGTATTATTCAGATTGTGCATGGTACATAATATATTTTGCATTAGTAGGTAATGTGATAACTTTAAAAGGACCTGTGAGGAGTTCATAGTATGGAGTGAGACCATAATGAATAAAATATGTAAGAGTTTTATGAAAATATTGAACATTTGAAATACAGAATAGTGAAATGACATTCTTTTTCCTATATAAAGATCAACTGATTATGAGAAAATATTTGTACATAAATAAATTATATAGCAATTCTTTTTTAAAAGGCTTTTTTTGAAAGTCAGAGCCATGGGGGAAAAGAGAGAGAGGTGGATTTTTCATCTGCTGATTTACTCACCAGATGGCTGCAACAGCCAGGGCTGAGCCAGGCTGAAGCCAGGAGCCAGGAGCCTCATCCAGGAATCCCACATGAGTGCAGGGACCCAAACACTTGGGCCGTCTTTCACTACTTTTCTCAGGCCACTAGCAGGGATCAGGAATGGAAGTGGAGCAGCTGGGACATCAACCAGTGCCTGTATGGGATGCCGACATCAAAGACAGTGGCTTTACCTACTATTCCATGCCAGCCTCTATATGTCAATTCTTTTGAACGTTAAATAAGTAGCATTTTCCTGTATTTAAATATGATCAATAAATTGAATTGACTTTGATCAGAAGAGTATGACAGGTAGTTAAATTATTAGAAGGATTTTACTTCCATAATTAAGGATGGATGGACAAAGATAATCATGTTCAAAGAAAACCAAAAACAAAATATATTCACACAACAATAACAGAATGCCAGCATAGTTGATTATTTTTATATAGTTAAACTGGCATTCATATTTTTTGCTAAATGCTAAGATAATTGCCATCACACATAAAAAATTGTCTTCTAGTTGTTTTGACCCCCAAATTTTATGTTTGTCTTGGTATTTTTATACCCAATCAGTCTACATAAAAATACACTGATTCTCAGAGTGCTTTTTTCTTCTGAAATATTTTTCTTATAGGCAAAATGTATTTTAATAACACAATAAACAACAGTAGATGTTTATTCATAGAAATATTGGTCTTACATGTCAAATCAGTGACCCAAACTACAGGCTGTTGACTCAGAGTTATATCGAAGGCCGATGTGTTCTTTTATGTGGGGAGTCATGTAGTTTCATCTGGATAGGAAACATTTTCTAAGTTTTCTGACGTAACTGATTGTGGAGTAGGTCATGGTCAATGTGGAGGTGTCATTTGCATATTTGGTTTTCCTGAATTAGTACCATTTTCTTTGAATTGGCACCCAAGAAGGGACTCTGGACTTTGGAACAAAGAGAGCACCTTTTCTCTTTGACTTTGCCAGTCTGCTCTGATTTTGTTAAGGTCTTACATGTGCAAAAGATTTATACGAGGCATGGAGATGAAGCATCAAATACTCTAAGAAATAATTATACCTAAGAAACTTATAAACTTCTGAATTTTGTTTGTTTTGTTTATTATTTTTGAGATAACATATTTTTAATTTACATTATAATCAAATGCTTAATGCTTCATTAAATATTTCAACAAATAAAAAATAAAAGCCCATCATTTAGTAGGAAAATAGGCAAGGGCTATAAACAATTATCAAATGAAAAGGTTTCCAACTTTATTCTCATAAAGTAAATTCTAAAATAGCCATAAAAATCATTAAAACTATAGTAATATATAATTAACAGTTTGTCAAAGATGTAAAGCTAAGTTTGACAAAACACTGTATTTGCAACAAAACTTACACACAGGCATTTCTTTCATTTTTGCTTATTGATTTTTTTTTTAATTTTAGCCCCCCATTAAAGGAAGACATCCTGTTAAATGAAATGAGCTGGATACTAAATTATTTCTCTTACAAAGAAAATACTTTTTATTTTATCATGTTGCCTTCCTACATTTCATATTATTAATGTATATATATACACTCATATTTTGTATGATAAATTGTTGATATGTAATTCTAAGTAAAATAACTTCTATTCTAATATTCTAAATGTACCATTTTAAGAAGGATATGGTTTGCACTCAATTCAAAAATGTTCAGAAAATTGTGGTTAAAAGCAACAATTTTTTCAAGGTGTTAGGAGGCATTAGTTAATTTTATGATGGCACTTGTCAAAATTGTAGTGTTTGTTTTTGCACACTAGTGAAGATGATGATTATCTCTAAGGATGCCAGTTTTCCTTCTGTAATGGAAGGGAAGAAAGTTAGTGTAAAACATTATTTGAACAACTATGGTCTATTGAAAGTAGTCTAGTATGAAGTAACTATTGTAATTTCTCCTATCTGTTTCACAAGTCAGGAGCCAATGATAGATTATAATTTGAAGTAATGGTCAAAATATTCAAACTTAAGCCATTCTGCTTCCTACATTTGGTTTGTTTCCTTTGCTTCATTTCTTAGGGGTTAGTACTCAGAATTCTTTGTTGTCTGTCGCTCCCCCTCTTCGTGGAGGAACGACACAGAGTCCTGCCTAGGCTTCATATCCGAGTCACGGCACCATTATGTCGCTCCCCCTCTTCGTGGAGGAACGACACAGGACCCTGAGCTGTTCTTTCGTCTGCTCGGCCCTCCCCGGGTTTGCTGCTGGTTCTTCCCGGGTTGGCTACTATCCCTTCCACCTCCGTGGAAGGGCAGTTCCCCCTGGCCGCATTCCCCACTTCCGCAGGGGAGCGGCACACCGCCGGCCGGCTCTCTTCTCGGGGGCTGCACAGGTGTTCCCCTTAGATGTTCCCCATAGATGTTCCCCGTGCATGCCATCTCTCTCCTCCTTTATAGTCCTCCTCCGCCAATCCCAACTCGGCTGCCCACACGCCAAGTACGCTGCTCTCCTCCAATCAGGAGCAGCTCCTGCAGCTTGTCAAGTTGGTGAGAGGCAGCTGGGTAGAAGCTGTTTACTTCTCTCCCAGCGCCATATTGTGGGAGAGCAGATGCATAGAATAAGTCTTAATTCGAGTAACTTAGTCTAGTCCGGATTGCTCCCCACAGTTGTCTATGGACTCAGACAGTGTGCCTGTGTTTGCTATATCTAAGTATCACCCAATTTGCAATTAATATAAATATATTTTCAAAGTAAACACTGTCTCTTTATGTCTGATATTTTTACAGCTATATTATAACTGTTCCTGTACTGAAAAGAAAACAGAAACGACATTGACTGCAGAAGGCTTAAGCTTTGAGGCTAAAGCTGGAAAATGTGAAACCCAGTGTACAAACTTGCCCATATTCCTTGGTGTTTTCTTCATCACAGTTGTCTTCACCTTTATGGCTGGCACTCCTATAACTGTGTCCATCCTGAGGTAGGTGTTTATAGTGACACTTGCAATGGATACGTGAGAGGAAAGGGCTCAGTATGCCAAAAAGATGTCTGCGCTCCAGGTTCAGTGCAGCTTCATTCACAACAGCTAAGACACAGGATCAACCTAAGTGCCCATCAGTAGATGAACAGAGAAAGAAAACATGGGATATAATACCACTGAACCTTCTGCTATCTGTGACATGGATCAAACAAGAGGCCATTATATGAAGTGAAACAAGCCAGGCACACAAAGACAATTACTGCATGATATTACTCACATGTGCATTCTAAATAAGTCAAAGAAGTAGAGAGTGGAATGGTGGTTTCCAGGGTCTGAGGATGGGGAAATGGGATGACACTGGTCAGACAGTACAAAGGTTCGACAATGTGCATGGTGACAACAGGTGACACTCCAGAGTCTACTTGCAATTAGCTAAGATGTTAGATTTTAAATATGTTCACCATACACACACAAATGGCAACATGTGAGGTGATAAATATAAGCCTGATTGCAGTGATTGTTTCCTAATGTATGTGAAAACATCATAGGGCCCAGCATCATGCCATCAGAGTGCTGGTCAAGTCCCAGCTGTTCTGCTTCAGATCCAGTTTCCTGCTAATTAGCCTGGGAAAGCAGTAGAAGATGGCCCAAGTACTTGCACACCTGCCTCTTATTTAGGAGAGCATGATAGAGTTCTTGGGTCCTGGCTACAGCCTGATCCAGACCTGCCTGTTGTGGCCATTTAGGGAGTGAACCAGCATATAGAGTTGAAGTGTTTTCTCTCTCTCTCTCTCTGTCTCTCTCTCTGTCTCTCTCTCTCTCTCTCTCTTTCTCTTTCTCTCTCTCTCTCTGTCCTCTCTCTCCCTTTCAAGTAAATAAATATATCTTTTTAAAATTTGCATTGTATACTTTTAAATATGTAAAATTTTCATTTATCAATTTACCTCAATTTGTAAAAATTTTTAAATAAAACTAATAATTGTGCAAAAGAATATTTATGTTGATTCTCTCTATTAATTTATTAGCACATAATTCATACTCTGAATCTGAGTTCAAATCTGAGACAATAGAAAACAGTTGCTAAAGATCAACCTGATTAAACAAGGATTTTTAATTTTTAAAAAAGTTATTTATTGGCCAGCGCCACAGCTCACTTGGCTAATCCTCCGCCTGTGGTGCTGGCACCTTGGGTTCTAGTCCTGGTTGGGGTGCCGAATTCTTCCAGTCCAGCTCTCTGCTGTGACCCGGGAAGGCAGTGGAGGATGGCCTAAGTGCTTGGGCCCTGCACCCACATGGGAGGCCAGGAGGAAGCACCTGGCTCCTGGCTTTGGATCAGCGCAGTGCGCCGGCCACAGCATGCCGGCCATAGCAACCATTTGTGGGGTGAACCAACGGAAAAGGAAGACCTTTCTCTCTGTCTCTCTCTCTCTCACTAACTCTGCCTGTCAGAAAAAAAAAAAAAAAGAAAAAAAGTTATTTATTTATTTAAAGTCAGAGTTATAGGGAGAGAGGGAGAGACAGAGAGATCTTCCATCTACTGGTTCACTTCTGCAATGGCCAGGGCTGAGTCAGGCCAAAGCTGGGAACCAGGAGTCTCCATATAGGTCTCCCATATGAATAGTAGGGTCCTAGACATTTGGGCCATCCTCCGATGTCTTTCCCAGGCCATCAGCAGGGAACTGGATTGGAAGTAGAGTAGCCAGGACATGAACCACCATCCAAATGGGATGTTGGCATTGCAGACAGTAGCTTTACCTGCTACACCACAATGCTAGTCCCTAAACAGTGATTTTTTAAGCAATGAGCCTCAAAGATGAATGAGACATAATGCTAACAAGAGAATCATTGAGAGATAAAAGATCAACTAGTCTTTTAAAGCAGATAAGTAGTTAAAAGATGACACGTAATTTTTCAAAATGAATTTTTAAAATGCATATCTCCCTTCTCTACCTTCAATTTTCATGAAATGGATGGTTAATAATTTAATATTTTTAGATAGAATTTCCAAACTTTCTATTCATCAAAAAAAGTATGAGGAGCTGGCATTATGGTGCAGTAGGTTAATCTGCCACTTGGAATGCTTGTATCCCATGTCAGAGTGCCTGGTTTGAGTCCCGTCTATTCCATGTTTCTGCCAGCTTTCTACTAATATGTCTGGGAGACCATGGAGGACAGCCCAATAACTTGGTTCCTGCCACCCACTTTGGAAACCTGCATAGAGTTCCTTGCTCCTGGCTATTGCAGGCATTTGAGGAATAAACAGTGAAAGATCTCATTTTCTCAATCTGTCCCTCACTCTCTGTCACTCTGGTGTTCAAATAAATAAATAAATACTATATATATAAATGTAGATAGATTATAGATATAATTGAAAGGTGAAAAGGCTACAGATTGTTAGGAAATATGAAAGTACTCAAAAAGTTTTGGAAAAGAGAATTAAAAGTTAAGTTTATTTTGTTGCAAAAATATTTGGAATTCATGTAGTTTATATATAACAATATTTCCGTTAACGTTTTGAAGACCCCCTCATGTGTATGAACTTCACAAACTTCTTTGCACCAAAATAAATTATCTTATAATACTACATTCCAACGAAGTTTCTGAAGTGCCCTTGGATACAGAACAGCTATTTTGTAAAGCAATGCCTGGGAGGAAGAACAACTGTAATCAGAGAATGTTGGTGAACAGCCAGGTGATTGCCATCTTCTGAATTAGCATTATACACAGGAAGAATGAGTACCGCAGCACCTGCCGTGTAAGGCAGAATGCATGTCATTCTGATTCCAGTGTATGAGGAGTGTACTTAATTTCCACGAATGAACCTGCCATCAGCTCACAACTGAAGCTTCATGAAAGAGGCAGAGAAAGTAACACCAAGGATATGCCAAATGCACAGTGTTAACACATTTTCACACACATGATCCCATTTAAACCTCACACATCTGGGGCTCATTTCCCTGTATCAAATAGCGGTTCTCTTTTTAGTTTTTTTGAGAAGCTTCTATTCTGTTATATAATGATTGTACCAATTGACATTCCCACCAATAGTGTACAAAAATTGTCTTTTCTCCACCTTGCCAACATCTGTTATCTTGCTTGTTTTTGAAAATAGACACCCTAACAAGTGTTAGGAGATATCTCTTTGTGGTTTTGATTTGCATTTTGTGAGTGATTGTAATGTTGAACTTTTTTTCATATACCCGTTGTCCATCTATATGTTTTCTTTGAAGAAATTTCTATTGCAGTTGTTTGCCCATTTAAAAAAATTGAATTATTTGTTTTCTTGGCATTGAGTTGTGTGAGTTCCTTGTATATTTGGGTGTGAATCTCTTATGAGATGCCCGGTTTCAGGTATCTTCTCCCATTCTGTATGTTGTCCCCTCGCTCTGCTATTTATTTTCTTGGCTGTGCAGAAGCTTTGAAAGCTTTTTTGTTCAAATTTGTCTGTTTTTGCTTTTGTTGCCTGTGCTTTTTAGGTAATATCTAAGGGGCTGGTGCCTACTCCATGTCAAGCACATTTTCCCCTAAGTTCCTTTCTAGAAGGTTTAGGATCTTAAGCCTTTTAGTCCATTTTAAAATTATTTTTCCATATAGAATGAGATAAGGGTCCATTTGCATTCTCTGGGACGTGAATACCATGATTTATTGAAGAGACCTTTTCATTTTTGACACCTTTATCAAAGAGTAAATGACTGTGAATGTATTGATTTCTTTCTAGGTTCTGTATTCTGTCCCATTGGTCTTTATATTTGTTTTTAGCCCCAAACAATACTGTTGTAATTACCATAGTTTTGTAATATATTTTGAAATCTAAAAACATGATGCATCCAGCTTTGTTCTTCTTGCTCAAGGTTCTTGAACTATCCCGGATCTATTCTGGTTCCATGTGAGTGTCAGCAGTGTTTTTTCTATTTTGTGAAACATGCCTTTGGAATTTTTATGGGATTGCAAAGAACCTGTGCATTGCTTTGGGTAGTGTGGACATTTTAGCAATATTAATACTTTTTTTTTAAAAAAGATTTATTTATTTATTTGAAAGTCAGAGCACAAAGAGAGAGGGAGAGACAGGAAAAGAGAGAGAGAGATCGATCTTCTATCCACTGATTCATACCTCAGTGCTGGGCCAGGGAGAATCCAGGAGCCAGGAGCTTTGTTTGGATGTCCCACATGGGTGGCATCTTCCTCTGCTTTTCCCAGGTCATTAGCAGGGAGCTCGATTGGAAATGGAATGGCTGCGACAAAAACGGGTACCTATATGGGATGCTGGTCTTGCAGGCAGTGACTTTACTTGCTATACCACAATGCTGACCCTAATAGCAATATTAATTCTTAGAATTCATGACCATGGATTATCTTTCTATTTATGTATGTCCTCTTCAGTTTCTGTGTTATCAGTGTTGTATATATTTTCAGCATACGAGTCTTTTATTTTTCTCATTATGTTTATTCATAAGTATTTTATTTTTTGATACTATTATAAATGAGATTATTTTCATGGTTTCTATTTTGGATTATTGATTGTTAGTGTTTGGAAATACAGCTGGTATTTTATGTTGATTTCTTTCCTGAAACTATTCATTTGTTAGTTTTTTTAAAAAGTATTTTAGGGTTTTTGCATGTATGATTCTGTCAGCTGCACAATTTTGTTTGTCTTTCCCAGTTTGGATGCCTTTTTAAAATTTTTCCTGCCTAATTGCTCTAGCCAAGACCTCCAAAACTATGTTGAATGTAAGTTGTGAGAGCAACATCTTTGTGTCAGTCCTGGTCTTAGAGAATAGGCTTTCGGCTCTGCATCATTGCCGTGGGTTAATCATAGTTGGCTGTTATATGTTCAAGTGCTTTCCTGTGCTTCATTTGCTGAGGGGCTTCATGAAAAAGAAGCCTTCTGAATTAATGTTAATTCTTAGGGGCTAGTGACTGTTTTTAATGTTATTTTCAATATTTTATTTCAGATAAAAGTTCTCTTATTTTGTACTTCCAGAAAGATTAAGCCATATATGCTCATACAAAGAATTTTTTTTATTTGTACAGCATTTAATATAGAAATGATTAACTGGTATAAATATGAACTTACTCAACCTTTCTTGGTCTCATATTGTATTTAATATTTCCAGGTGTGTTAATCAAAGGCAACGGTCTCTAGCGTTGGGAATACAGTTTATGTTGCTTCGATTATTGGGTATGCCATTTTAATTAATTCACTAGTAAATGTTGCCATTCTGACTTATTGGTGTTATTGATTTACATTTTTGTGCCAAATATATAACTAAATCATAGTGGAAGACTATTTAATTGTTGTTGAAGAAAGCTGTTTTCCAGTGATTGAGATGTAGCGTTACTTACAAAAGACACTTACAAATACAACTTTACTGTTCACCTACTTGATTTTTACCTGTTGTTTCTAATTCTGTTGCAAATTAACTTCAAAAGGCATATTTATATGAAAGGAAATATCGAATATGACATCAAAACAGAGTTTTTCCTTCCTGCTTTTATCTCCATTTGTGACACTACTATGTTGGTTTAGCAAGAAAATCAATGAGTTAGTTTCTCTATAATAACTGTTTTGTAGATTTGTGACTAATCAATAATTTAGGGAAGAAAGAATTCATACTAGAGAATTGTGTAAGGTTCTAGATGTAGGAAGAATAAGAAGGAAGGGGTAAATATAAACATTTCACTAAGATCATTTTCTACAACAAAAGCAAAAAAGTGGTAACACAGAGGTCAGCTCATTCAAAGCTCCTGTTTGTTCAGAAGAGTAAACTAAGGCCCTGAAAGATTTAGGATTTTGCTCACTGCTACACGGTAGATAATGGAAATGTGGAAATGAGACCAATGATCCTTCTCTCAGTCCAGCACTCTTTTGACCGTATCATACTACAAATCAAAGAACAGACTAGAGGTGGCCAAAATACTTGTCTAAGAGCTATCACCTCAAATCATTATTTGATAGGTAACAACTAGAAGCACCTTAACTGTAGTTGTCTCTCAGTATCTGCAGGGGATTGGTTCCAGAACCCCCACACCAAAACCTAAGGTGCTCAAGTATCTTATGTAATGGCCTACTGTTTGCATATAGTCCACACACATCCTTCCATATTCTGTAAATCATTTCCAGGTTGTTTTGATATCTAATACAATGTAGACATTATCTAAATGGTCGTTATATTATGTTGTTTAGGGAATAATGACAGGAAAATAAGTCTGCATATTTAGTGCAGGCACAGTTTTTTTTTTCAAATATTTTTGATCAGATGTTGGTTGAATCTGTGGATGCAGAGCCCACAAATATGAAAGCCACACTGAAAATGGAAATTCAATGCCTCCTGGCCTGAGCTCATGAGTGAGTGTGTGTGTGTGTGTGTGTGTGTGTGTTGTGTAGGATAGTAACGCTTCAGTGTATATTAGTATGAAAGTCTGTATGTACGTGTATATTAGCCCTCACACATATGCACATGTTAGTGTATATACATGCACACATACATATACATGTGCACATTAATTTTTATATGCATGAACAAACATTTTGACATAGCATATATGCAGTAGTTCAGTGCATGGTTTTTTTCATCAGGAATAGTTTATTTTGATTTTTTGGAGGTGCAATAGCTAATTTCAAAGACACATTTTTTCATTATATTATAAATGCTAACAATATAATTCTGTGAAAATACATTTTGAGTTGATTAGAAATATCAAAATATATCAATAACTATGTTAATGTACATGATGATAATTACATATAATTTTCTAAAAAAATTGTCTATACCACAAGCTTTTCACTTGTACATGAATTAACTTACGCCTATAGATACATGAATGCCTATTTTTATGTATATAAAATATATGTATAACCCTATATATGAAAAATCTGTAAATATATATTGTAATCTTTACCAATATGTGTTCACCTATAATTCTTTTAGGCACAATACCTGGACCAATTATATTCGGTGTCATAATAGACAGCACATGTATTCTCTGGGATATTAATGAGTGTGGAATTAAAGGAGCTTGCTGGCTTTACAATAACATCAAGATGGCCCACATGCTAGTAGCCATAAGTAAGTGGTAACTTCTCAATAACCTTGGAGTAAACTAGTGGTGTCAACAACAACTTGGCATAGCTACTTAGCTTGAATGTTCAGTCAATCCTGTTGGACAGTCCTGAGGTCCAGATAGATGCAAAGCCCAGTCATCATAGCATGTCAGGAGAGGCTTTGAATGGAGCTTGCAAGCCTCAGTCTTCAATAGAAGAGAATACAATTTTCACTTTCATTATACCACCTGTAGTTTAGTTCTCTTTTAACAGTGTCTCTTAAACTCTTTTGAAAACGATACCCTAAAGCCAAAAAGGAATTCTGAGAAACTCACTGGGGTGGTTGTCACCTGTGTGTCTGGGCTTTGGAAAACACAGAGATGCAACAAGGAAGGATCCATTGCACTAAGGCACTTCTGAGAAACTTTTTCCTAGTACAGGAGGTCAACCATGAGGGTTAGCCTTTTTTCTCCTTTGTAGTCTACAGTCTTGGTTAACAATAAATGAAAGTTAAGAATAAGGAAGTGAAGAGGAGCAACACATCTAGTTTGTAAAATAAACCTTTATAATTTCAAAAATAATCTGAGAAATTAGAGTATTAAAAATAGAAAATTCTGAAATCAATCATCATTTTCATTGCTGTTATTTTGACACATTTATCAAAATAAGCTTATTGCTCTTTATCTGTTAAAGTCCCAGCTGAATTTATGACAGAAATAAAATATCTACTGAGGAAATAAATATATAAACTTTAAAAAGCAATGAAGGAATAAACACTGATGAGAATAGTTGCAATTAATCTCCTCATCACTATTAGCTGCTTTCTTTAAGATTTAATTTTTATATTTATTTGAAAGGCAGAGTTGTGGAGAAAAGAGGAGATGCAGAGAGAGAGAGGGGTCTTCTATCCTCTGATTCACTCCCCAAATGGCCACCACAGCTGGGCTGGGCCAGACTGAAATCAGAAGCTTGGAGCTTCTGCTGGGTCTTCCATGCAGGTGCAGGGCCCAAGGATTTGGGCCCTCCCCCACTGCTTTCTGAGGCACATCAGTAGGGAGCTGGATGGGAAGTGGAGCAACTGGATCTTGAACCAATGCTCATATGGGGTGCCAGCAATACAGGTGGAGGCTCAACCTGCTACAGCAAAACGCCGGCCCTTAGCTGCTTTTATAAACCATTTTTTATTCCATGTGTTTATATTTATAATTTATTTAATTGCTTGTGCATGTATTTTCTGGCCATATACATAACGCATTCTGCCTTTTCCTATTCTATGATGAGTGAGAGAATTCACTGTCCTCCCCCAAAACATATACACCTTTAAATTTTCAAAAGCCAACCAACCAACCAACCAACCAACCAAAAACCATTAACAGTTGTACCTGTGTCACTAACATGCCTATAAATCAAGTAATGCTTACATCAATGAGCAAGGCTGTTTTTCAAATAAACATTTTAAAATATTAATGAATAATTAAAAGCAAGAAGATACTGAAAAACTACACATGTCATTCATTTACAGGCTCTTATTAAATGCTTGTGTTACAGTTAGAACTACTTTCTCTTCATGTAGCTGAGCTCAAAATCAAACCCAGTCAAGCTTGTGAATTTGAATGTTTTATATTTTTAGTTGATAATTGAGAGAAAATTGAGGTATTAAATGTGATATAGTCCCTAGAGCTTTCCTTCTAAGAACTCCAAAGCCTTTTTAATTTCCAGAATTGTTTTTTATTGTAAACATGAAAAATTATGCAATTTATCAAGTTCAAGGGTGGTTTGAGCTATTTGGTTTTGTCATTGACATTTGTCTGCTTGTAATTGTTGATAGATGTATACTATGTTGAAAGCAGAAATGGAACATGGATTTATTTAATCCTATATAATACTTTTTACAAAACCAGATGATCATGACTGACAATAGGATAATTGTTACCATGCACTTTTATTGTTTAGAAGGAAAATAAATGCCATTTCATCAAATTGTGTATAAATATTTTATTTCTCCCTAATGTCTTAAAAATGTAGAGCATAAAACTAATGTTCCCAAAATTCTTCACTTTAAACTGGTGAGTTTCTATTCATGAAGAATTTTTGTGTGAGGATATAAAGGCCTGATGTAAGTTTTTTTTTTTTTTTCAATATTTAGGTGTTACTTGCAAAATTATCACCATTTTCTTCAATGGACTTGCAGTCTTTTTGTATAAGCCGCCACCATCAGGCACAGATGTGCTGTTTCAGAACCAAAATGCAGTGGTAGTGGAACATGTCAGCAAAGCAGAAGATGAAGGGTGACACAGGAGAAGACAACTCTATACACAGCTGGAAGATTGACTTCTATTTCCCAACACACACATTGCCATGGCAGCATTATCTACCCAGGGTGGACTGACACACTTAAGAATTCACGTTGTGTAATTGAATGTGTTTTTATGTATATATGAGGACTCATTTGTTTTTGTTTTACTGCAAGAGACAGTTTGGTGCCTTCAAACCCCACCAAAAGCCTGGAAACAAACATATTTGCTTAATTCCCTTGGCTACATGTGAAATCCCCAATTGTTAACAAGACAAATTGCCAATATTCAGTTTACATTCAGATGCTTTTGTTTCCTTTACAATTTGTTTTGATTTTTATTGCCAGTAGTTTGGATTTATTTAGAAAATTTATGATTCAACAATTGTTACTAACCAAATTTATGTGATGATTTCTAGAAATTATTACTGAATACCCATGAATTTGAAACCAATTTTATAATCAGGGATCTTAAAAAAGCTCATGGAAGATGAATGTTATGAATAAAGTGTGCATAAATTTCAAAGTCTTTTTGCACCAAAACAAGCATCTTTTAACTTTGTTTTTCCATGAACTTTTTGAGGCTCCTTCATATACTAGTCAGGCCTTTGTTTATCACAACAAGTTATTGAATTATTGGAATTTAAGTTATCTTCGTATCCTTATCTATAGTGAAAACAGAAATATCGGCATTTTATATACAAACTTTCAGTTTATCTCAGGAATTCCAGGAGGTAATTTATTGATTTTGCTGATCTTCAATGTTTAACTCTTATTCTGTGATAGTATTATTCAGTTACATACGTTCCAGTGGAAATTACCAGCTTCAGTAAAAAACAGTGCCAATTAGACAGGGGAAGACTTTTTAATGAACTACTGATCAATGTTTACATACTCAGTACTTTGATTTTTCTTGTTTTAAAAAGCCATCTCCTAGCACATTACTTGTAGCAACTAAAGTAGTGCTTTGCATGCACAGGCATGTGTGTAATATTATTTGATGAAAACATTAAAGCCTATTCTTTAACTGATAGATGTATCTGAAACTTGAAATATTTCACAAACCTGAAAACATTATATCTTCACTCTAGTCATTCGGGTCAGACTTATGCCAATTCAGAACATGGCAGAAGTAGACCAATGAATGTCAACAAAAATAATTTCTATCCTGATTAGGATTTTACTAATTAAGAAATGTGTCAACATTCAAACTCAGAGTTGGTTGCATTTGGAGTTTTCATGAAATAAATGTTGCTCAACTGATAAGATTTATTATCAGATTTCACCTATGTTATTTTTTTAAGCAGTGTTACATATGCACTCTAACCAGGAGAACACAAACTGAGAATGAAGATGTGGGTAACCAGAATCATAAGCACTCAAAATTTGCAGAATTTAAGAGGTTATTTAGGGGTGATCTTTGGTCAATGATGAGTCAACCAGATGAGTCTGTAAACCAAAATTAAAAGGGAAGGAATGAGTCAGGAGCTAGCCAAGGACGCACATCTTTGTATTAGAAGAGAGAAACCATCAGTGAGTCAGAAATCAAAACGACCTACTGACACCCAGCACATGGAAGCACCAAAGTTCAAAACCATATAGGTAGCACAAAATGTGGGTATTGGGGAAACAAGAAATTCAGCAACCAAAGGTAAACTTTTAGACAGGGGACCACAGATACGTGATACCTCGATTGAGAACCTCCTCTTCAGCCAGCCAGACACTGTTACAGTGCTTGTTTTTGTTGGAGCCAAGCTAATGGAGAGTTGGCATTTTCTGTGTCCTGTACGTGGGGACAGAGAGTCGAATGGAAGAATTTCATAGCTGTTAGGTAATTGCAGATCTCAAGGAACTCACCGATAGAAATGTGGAATGAGTGTAAGCGGGGACACAGAATAGCTGCAAAAACCGTGTAGTCTAGGAGCATTTCCTTTAGAGAGAAGAAAAGCAATCACTCCGTACATAGAAATAATTTGATAAACAGGGCACTACATGGTTGGTTTTCATAGTTTCTTGGTGATCAAGGTCAACTCTATACACAGTTTTATAAAATGATGCAGGGTTTTGTTTTGTTTAGTTTTTTTGTTTTGTTTTGTTTTGTTTTTTACAAACAAATGAAAATGGTTAAAGAGAACCAATGATTTGGCACTTGGGAGCTGGACTCTTTAATTTATGATATGCATATTTTGAAAGAATACCTCCTTTCACAGGTGATACACTACTATATTTATAATCATTGCTTTTATTGTTGGATTCACCTATATTATATGGGTTGGTTTGTTCAAGAAAAAATTTTTCATGATACATGTTTTTCACAATTTATACTGATTCTGAAATAAGATTGAACTTATTCATTGACCAGTTGTGATTTTGTACATAATTGAATATATGTCTTAAAATTTTTAATGTTTGTGTGTCCTTGGTTGCAGAAAATGTAAATGGAAAACTTCATACATGGAACAAATTGTACATAATTGACTCTACTATGTAAATTGAAGGAAAGCAGAAATAATAAAATAAATTTTAGATCTATTTTTGTTCAGGATTTTCTGTTGTAAACAATTATGCAAAATAAATTTATATACATTTCATTAAATCAGAATGCTTGTATAAGGTTGTTATTAAATGACATAGATTTTGAAATTTGGGTTTTCTCTGTGAATATAAGCATTTTTTATGGATGGTAAAGGGTGTACTTCTCAGCTTAGTGACCATAATTTAATTACACGATTTCTGGTTTTTCAGATGATGTATTTGTTGCAATGAGAACCACATTCCTGAGGCCAGAGATGTGGCAAAGTGGGTAAAACTGCTGCCTGCAGTGCTGGCATCCCATATGGATGCCGGTTTGAGTCCCTGCTGCTCCACTTCCAATATAGCTCTCTGCTATGGCCTGAGAAAGCAGTAGAAGATGGCCTGGGTCCTTAGCCCCCTGTACTCGCTTGGGAAACCTAGAAGAAGCTCCTGGCTCCTGGCTTCAAATCAGCTCAGTTCTGGCCATTGAGGCCATCTAGGGAGTGAACAAGTGGATGGAAGACCTCTCTCTCTCTCTTTCTCTTTCTCCTTCTCCCTCTCTCTGCCTCTGCCTCTCTGTAACTCTGCCTTGCAAATAAGTAAAAATAAATCTTAAATAAAAAGAAATGCATTTAAAAGATTAGGAGAACACTACTTGGTAAATCCCCTCCTCTCCTGCATTGGTGATGTACTTCAGTGATAATATGCATGGAGCTCTACAGGATATTTCACAGATCCAGGAGTAGCAGGATTGTACTCATGGCCTCAGGCAGTGATGGAAATGTGAGAATCTTGGTAAGGGACATGGGGTTGATTTACCATAACCAAGTTGAGGTGTCAGATACCCTGACGTGTTCTGCAGCCATGTACATATATTTAATTATTTATTTGAAAGGTTGAGTTACAGAAAGAGGAAGAAACAGGGAGAGAGAGAGCTTTCATTTGCTGGTTCACTCCCTGAATGGCCACAGTGCTCAAGGATGGGCTCAAGGATGAGCCAGGATCCAGGAGCTTCTTTTGGGTCTCCCACAAGGGTGCAGGGGCCCAAGCACTTGAACCATCCTCTGCTGCTTTTCCAGGTGCATTAGCAGGGAGCTGGATCGGAAGCAGAGCAACAGGGACTCGAACCAGTGCCCATATGGGATGCTGGCACTGCAGGCTGTGGCTTTACCTGCTACACCACATTGCCAACCCCTGCAGCTATATTTTTTAAAAGCTTATGTATTTGAAAGGCAGAGAGAGAGAGCGAGCTTAATATCTTGTTTCACTCCCCAAATGGCCACAATGTTCAGAGCTGTGCCAATTTGAATCCAGGAGCCCAGAACGTCATCTGGGTCTCCCACATGGGCGACCGAGGCTCAAACTTTTGGGCCATCTTTTGCTGATTTCCCAGGAACTTTGGCAGGGAGCTGGATCTGAAGTGGAGCGACTGGGTTTCAAGCCTGCACCCATACGGGATGCTGGTGTTTCAGGCAGGCGATTAACCCACTGCACCACAATGACCATCCCTGCAGTTCTTTCTTGAGATCTTTCAGATGATCTGCACAGCAGCAGAAGACTTGTTGCTCTCTTTGCCAGCTGTCAGCAGAGCCAGGGCCTTCCTGGAGAGAAGGGAAAAGTAAGCACAATATCAAACGTGCCTGAATTTGATTTCCTTCTCTTGCTTTGAGCATCTTGCTTTTGTTGCCACTGGGTTAAATCAGTCAGTTATTACCTTTCCTTTCGTATGAGGAAATGTTGTACTGACAGTTGCCGTCTGTCCTTGACAGGTGATTTGAAGGTCTGGAAATCCTAAGAAGCAAGAATTTGTTGAGTTACACTTCCTGTGATAACACTTTCCAAAAGCCTCTAACAAAGATCAGGTAATTCTAGGGAAAATGACGTAGCTGTCAGTTACTGGTTACCTACATGGTCTGAGGAAATGTGCTAGAGGCATTAAACATTTTACACTTACATGTAAGACAACTGAAACTCAGGGAAATTGTTTTCGAAGTGGAAAACCACTGTCAGTACTAACACTTGAGTCTAGGTTCCTGTGGCCCCAAATCTCAGGCTTTGTCTTTCTGCACTAAAATATTCTGAGGCTAACTTCATAAATTAAAAATAAATCCACAACTTTTACTTTAAAAAATTAGAAAGATTTATTTATTTTAATGGCAGAGTGACAGAATGAGAGATTTTCCATCTGTTGATTCACCCCCAAATGGCCACAACAGAGAGGGCTGGGCCAGCTTGAAGCCAGGAGCCTGGAACCGCATCTGGGCCTCCCACGTGGGTTGCAGAGACCTAAGCACACGGGCCATCTTCCACTGCTTTTCCAGGCACTTTAACAGGGAGCTGGATCAGACTGGTGGGACTCAAACTGGGGCTCTCATATGGGATGCCAGTGTTGCAGCTGGTGGCTTAACCTGCTGCATGCAGTACATGCTGACCCAAATCCACAACTTTTAGTTATGAGAATTAAATAATTTTTTTAAATCTTACATATTTTACTAAATAATCAAACCAATCTGAGGCAGTTTTAAAAATGAAATAGTGTCAGGGGCCGGCAGTGTGGCATAGGGAGTTAAGTCACCGCCTGCAGTGCTGGCATCCCATATGGGCACCAGTTAGAGTCCCAGCTGTTCTACTTCCGATTCAGCTCTCTGCTATGGCCTGGGAAAGCAGTGGAAGCTGGACCAAGTCCTTGGGCCCCTGCACCCACATGGGAGACCCAGAAGAAGCTCCTGGTTCCCGGCTTCAGATCGGCGTAGCTCTGGCTGTTGTGGCCTATTGGGGTGAACCAGCAGATGGAAGATCTCTCTCTCTCTCTCTCTGTCTCTCTCTCTCAGTGCCTCTCCTTCTCTCCTTGTGTAACTCTGACTTTCAAATAAATAAATAAATCTAAAAAAAAAAAAAAAAAAAAGGAGAAGAAGAAAGTGTCAAGGAAAAGTGTTTCTTTCCAGACTTGCAATTTCCATATAACCAGCAGGTGGCAGTGTTGCTTTACTACCATAGTAAAGGTGCTTTGTTTTCTGAACCTTTGTGTTCTTGATGGAGGCCTATTCTGGCCTCCTGCAAAAATTACATTTGCATTTTCTCATTATCATTGTTCCTATTCTTCTACTAATTTTGCTGGAATTCTTTTCTCATTGCAGATTATTGCAAAGATTTCTCGTTAGAAGAGAAATGATAATGAGAACTATTTTGTGAATGCAGCTTTCTTTTCTATTTCAGGAAAAAAATAAGAGATATTTGTTATTTCACAGGTTTTACTTACAGATATTGGCCAAGAGTGAATTTTTGATACTGTTCTATAGCTTATTTTAAAATACCAAAAGGAATCGTCAAGAACAAAGTATCAAGAAATAACAAATCTCAAAATCTTCTCCAGGCTGTCTTTCCACTGGCAAGGATGAAGACTTTCTACTAAAAATATTGGCATATGTTATTGACATTTTCTCCAATAAATGTCTATAATACCGTTTCAGACTAATTTTTAATTTTATTTACTTAATTTATTTGAAAGGGAGAGAGACCGATACACAAAGAGAAAGAGAGGAAGGGGGGAGGGAAGGAGGGAGGAGAGAGAGAGAGAGAATCTTCCATCCACTGGATCATTCCCTGAATCTGAAGCCAGGAGCCAGGAACTCCATCCAAGTCTTCCACATGGACTCAGATACTAGAGCCATCGTCTACTTCCTCCTTGGTACATACTAGCAAGAAGCCGGATCAGAAAGGGCGATGGGACTCAACCCCAGGCACTCTGATAGGGGATGTGGTGCCCCATCGTGGAGCAGACATCTAGAGTTCCCGAGTGTCTGCTCACTTCATTCTGCATAGGCGACGCTGCTTTTTCACATTAGAGGGAAAACAGAGATTACTAAGCAGTCTTTTGAAAGGTAAACCATCAGGTCCCCTCCTTCTATTCTGAACTTCCTGATTTTCCTTGGGATGTTGCTCAATTCATTTCTGTATTTTAAGTTTTATTTGTTTATTTGAAAGAGTTACAGAAAGGGAGAGAGAGAGAGAGAGAGAGAGAGAGAGTTCTTCCATCCACTGGTTCACTCCCCAGATGGCAGAAACAGTCGGAACTGGGTGGATCCAAAGCTAGGAGCCAGGACCTTTTTCTGGGTCCCCCATGTGGGTGCA